TTCAATCTGGGCCATTCTTTCTCCTGCGGTGGGCGGGAGGGAGGCCGGGCCTGGGACACGTCCCCCTTTCCCCCCTGTTTTCAGCTCCCACTCCATTCATTCTGCAAATCCTAGAGGGCTGCGTTCAACTTTCCCCATGGAATTCGCCCCTGTACTCGGTTATTGTCCCTCTGTTACCCCAAGCACCAGCAAGGTGATCTCGAAAGAACGCTGCTCACCCCTGGCAGGCAAGCTCCTGACTGGACTTTTTGCGCTCTGAGCCACAGTCTTTTCTTCAGGGGGCCACCAAGCATTTGGCTTTGCAAGACCAATTTATGATGCTGTCAGGGTCTCGGGCGCCGCGCCTGCCCCATCCGGCAGCCCCGGGGAGCTCGATTGTTCCCTTATTAGGCAGCTGAGAAAGGCAGAAAGGTTAGCGTCCCTTTCCCACAATCGGAGACAATGTGTGACCGCAGACGTGTCACACTCACAAGCGAGGAAACATAGCAAGGATGTGTCTCCAAGTGGGTGCCAGGGACTCCTCATTGCCACGCGAGGAAGGGAACAAAACGAATTACCAAACTCCAAATATCCAAACCCCCAAACCTTCCTGGGCTATATATAGCTATCTTTAAGACGGTTTTGGTGGTTGCTGTCAATATCCATAGGAAATACGCCAGGGAAGAATCGAGAAAGTCTTACAAAGAACTAAAAGAGTCATAAAGGACCAAATGACAGTCAGTGAACTTGGGCACAGTAGTTCTTTGTGCATAGGGGCCAAGACTGCCCAGATGTAAACAGAAGGCTAAACTCTGCCCTGCCAGGAGCTGAGACTGTGGTCCTGGGGAGAAGGCAGGCACAGGGATGAAGGGGAGCCACTCTAGTCTCTAGGAGATGAGCTCTTGCAAATGCTGCCCCTCCCCTCCCCCTCATAACCAGGAGGGCTCTGTGTGCAGCGGGCACCCTTCCTGGACTTGCTTCTAGAACCAGTTATTTTCCCTTTTTAATATTATTTGTCCAAAACGTGTGTGTTGCTGCTGTTCTTTCTCAGTAAAAGTGTCTCCCAGAGAGGTGAGGGAGCCTAAGGCCAGACTTTCACACTCTCACTTTTCCTCCTGGCCAGGAAAGAGGAAACCAGCACAAACAACCCCCACCCGTCGTCTGCCTCTGTGGCCTGTCCCATTGAAAGGGCCTTCTCTAAAACCGCAAATAAAGAGAGCAGCTTCTGAGAAACCTGGCAAAGGCTCCAGGGGAAGGGACAAAAAAGACCATATCTGTGCTCCCCTCTTAGATGTATACAAAAGGCTGTGCTCAGATTCTTAGGTCTGAGAAGACTTTTTGAGTTGAAACATGATAAATACCCTTCTCCCAGGACTTGAATGGAAAGGGGATGGTAAAGAGCGAAAACTTAGGATAATTCTCTTTATGTTATAAACACCACCAACTCATCTTATGAGATGATGCAAAAATATTTAACATTTTTATTTTATGCTTTTTAAAAATATGTGGATTCCATAGCTAAAGCTCTGTTTCTGCATCAGAAAAGAACCACGTTTATTGGCAGGTGATTCAAAATTGCACCCTTAAAGAAAAACTGACTGCAAGTTTAAGGAATAACATGCACAGTGTTTTCACTTTAAAACTCTTCTTAACACAGTGTTTTTAAATGGTGACTGTGTTAATTTTTTAGTAGAATATAAAATTAGAGTTAAAGATAAAATGTTTGTTTCAAGATTATATTTATATAATATATATTCAAAGACATCAATTATTTATATTTCTACTCTATTTAAAAATTAGTTCCCCAAAATTTAAATTATTCTTAAAGCAACACTAAAAATATTTTCATTTTAACAAAATAATGCAAATTAAACTTCTTTAAAAAGATTAAGTCTTATATTTGGAGTGTGTTGTTCTGTGATTTTGTCAAGCTACCCAAGCTTTCTTGACATGATACAAAGGGATCTAGTTTCTTGTTTTTAATATTACAACAAGAACTGGGAGTGTAATCATAATGATAAGGCAATTTGTGTTAGTTTATAAAATCCATTGCAAAGGTTAATTTTGTTGTGGTAGGTATTCTTTTCATTTCTTCCCCTGCCCCCCAGCTGGCTTTCTGTTCACTGTTAAGCTTAAAATTAAACATGTAAGGCTTTTCCTTAAAAAAAAATCGTGGTCTTAATTTGAGGTTGGTTATTGGTAGTGATGGGGTTTCTTTTTAATTTTTAGTTTTCTCCAAGTCTGTTCAATTTCACTGTTCTTGTACTTCTGAACTAGTAAATCTGTACTTGATCTAGGCCCAAACAGAGTTTCATTGTAAATAAAAAGTCATCTTTTATGAGGATGTTCACTTCACAGCTTGAGCAGTGTAATTTTTATACAGGTGTCAGCAATCAATAAAAAAGCCACGGGAGGAATGATTTATCTTGTTGGTTTCAGAGACTGTCACTGAGAGAAATTGTAAAAGATCAATTTACACAACCTGGTGTGAGAATGTTATTGATATAACACGGTTGATCAGTTTTTGGTTGTCTCTGTGTAGGCCCTGCGGAGGAAGCACAGTCCTATGATAGGCCTGCTTTCCAAGGTTGAAAAGACTCCGAGCTCCATAAAATGGACACAGAGCCAATGGCAGGTGGCCAGGCCGGGGCAGGAGGCTTCTGGAGGGGAGGACCTGGCATTGGCTGCCTCCGATTACTTCTTTAAGTGTGTCCTGCTTCCTCCTCCTTTCTCTCTCTCTGTCCCTTTCAAGCTCTCTACCTCTTTAAAAAAAAAATTTCCTCTCCTACTGCGAGAACTGTTCACTTGGAGACTCCCTGTCTTAATTACAAAGAGCCCTTTTAACCATAGGTCACAAGACTTGGCTGTCTTGACAGGAAACAAGGAAAAAGCTACCTTCCTGGAAAAAAATTCAGACTTCCACTTCTCAAATTAGTTCAATGAAGCTTATCAACAGTTAGGAGTTGAGTCTTCAACAGTTGGCTAATTGCAGTTGGTACATTAAGTATGTTTTAACCAGAGCTGTTTGGGATGAAAGTAGTAAATAAATAAATAAATAAAGTCTGGGCATTTCCAGTGAAAGGCAAAGTTTAAAAAATTTTTATCTTGGTCTTGCTGTGAATATAACTATACAAAATGGAGGTCTAGGCTTTAACATTTTAATTAATATTATTTACAAACATTAACATAATTTAAATTGACATTGAAACTACATCTGTGGTCTCTCTGTCTCTCTGTTCTCCCTTCAAACTTTCCTCTGACTATATTTTTATATTAAGTAAACTATGGAAAATATACCTACTAAATATCTGGTTTCAAGTCTTAGCATACCATTCTCAAATTCAGAACTTTTCAAATGAAGGTAAATCTTAGTTGAATTGGTTTACTTTCTGATTTACAATTCTTTAATATTATTACAGAAGACAGAACATTAGTTACAGTAAAATAAAGAACGACAACAAAAAACAACCACTCCAGTGGTTTCCTATTGAAAGAGTGTTATAATAAAGTGAGCAGAAGAAAAGCAACCGCAATTTAGAAAAATGTAATAGTGCTTTTGTGTATTTAATTTATTATTTGAAATAAAATATAACATCAGAATGATAATTATAATGTGGCCTGAGTTACAGTAATATAAAAGAATAAAAAGACTAAGAAGACAAATTATTATACATTTATAGCTTAGACTATTAGCTACAATTTTAGTAATATTCTCTCATGCTGTTTGCTTTTTAACAGATTCCACATTTCCTTATTTCTGTATGTGTTTATATGTGTATATACACATACATATACACATATGTCTTCTATGTAGAGTCTGTCTTTGCATTTTTCATTTATTTTAAACATACACCGTTTACTTGGGAAATGGAGAAATGTTATGCTTCCTGAACATTTATTTAAAAGGTAAGAATCAACTAGTTCTATGCATTCTATTAGATGATATTTTAATTGCTATATGTCCAATTAGTATTTATTTGCTTTTGTTTACAGAAGAGTGAATGTGATTTTCCTTTCATATTCCTCTGTATTAGAATTCCGTAATATACTCTCATTGTCTTTTCATTAGCTAAAATTAGCCCTCAAATCTCTTACTACATTCATTATAAACATAACACAAACAAAAGCCTGCTTACAAAATATGCTTTCCCTTTATCCCCTTTCCCCCACCTCCAATGGCAGGTAGATATTCCTATCTCAATGTCAATGATGCTTGTAATATGGCCTCAGAAAATTCTGCCACCTATTTCCTCTTCTGGGCTATGACTAAATCAGTACTCATATTATGTAGTTGGTAAGAACTCTACAGGGGGAGCAATGCTCCCCTCCAGATTAGAAAAATAGCTAGTCAGTTTCTTCACATCTAGAAGAGGCAAGCTTGTTCATGTGTTGAACCATGGCTTTTTTTTTTCTAATGCAGTTTTTGTTCCTGCCAAGCTCCTGATGGCTGCAGGCACTGCAGTGGTCTAGTACTGACTGTTCTCTGCCCTGGTCCTCCTCCCACCTCTACCCTCATAACCAGATCAACTCCTCCCCAGCAGGCATCCTACAGATTCAAGTTAAAATGCAATTTCCTGCTTTTGATAAGTAGACTATCCAGCCAGAACAAAATAGAACACTCTGACACAATTGTCTAATGGCCAAGCGGGAGGCAACTCCCACCCTTCAAGTCTCCCTTCATTTAAGACAAGCAGGAAATGCAATTTCTGATCTCTATTCCTGTGTTTTTCACCAGACTCTCCAGAAACATTGACAAGGTCTGTACATGCAAATCATTCAGGAAGCTAAGGCAAAGATCTAAGTCATGGGAATATTATAGACAATCGTGCCCACCCTATTAATTCAAACATTATAGATACTTCGACTCTTGAATGGCAAATGACATAAAGGCCCTTAGTTTAATAGCTCCAAAAAATGTACTATGTTCATACCAGACAAAATTGTCTACCGAAGTGTATCTTATCTTGGAAGGGTGTCAAATATCTAGAAAGGTGTATAACTTTTCCCAAATTACTTTCTGTAGGAGCTGTCCAGCCACTTTCTCTCTACTGAAGACAAAAGTTGTATTCAATAATCATTAACAATACGAGGTAAGACCCCAAAACATAATTTATTTATAAAAAATTGTGTATTCTTACACATTTAAATTTCAGTCACCTCCAAAGTACTCTCCATTTAATGCAGTACACCTATCAAGATTTTTTCCACTGCTCAGAACAGTTTTTGAACTCATCAATTTTGATGCTTTTTAGTGTTTCTGCTGGATTTTTTTTTTACCTCTTCTCCATCAACAAAATGTTTCCCTTTGAAGACTTTTTTTCACCTGGGGAAACAAAAAAGAAGTTGCTTGGCCAAGATCAGGTGAATAGGGAGGATGGGGCATGGGGGTCATGCCATGTTTGGTCAAAAAATACTGAACACAGCATGGTGTGGGAAGGTGTGTTCATAAATCATCCATCATGAAATGGGCAAACACATTGAAAGAGTCTTCAAAAAACTTTCACTGAAGCCAAATGCAGCCTCTCACAACAATGTCAGCTGGTACACTGATACAAATGGGTTCCTAGGACAATCACTTAGTAGGGGAAGCCTGTACCACAAGGGTCCCACTTTCCAGAAGATAATTCTGGGTTTTTTGGGCCCCCCACATTTGCTCCCCCCAGCTTTTGTTGACATTGCTAAAGGAGATATAATTATTTATAAAGCTTACTAGGGCATACATTAGGTCAGCTAAGGGAGCTAAGTAATTATGGAAGGTAGCTAAGTAATTAATCAAACAACATGTTTTCTGTACATGCAAAATGTTCTTGGTGCCCTTAAAGGAGTTTCAGAAGAATGAAAGACATGGACTCTCATCTGAACAAGCTTATGAACTGGTTGACAATAAATTGTTCTCAGTAATAAAGAGTAAACATGGAGAAGAGGATGGCATTGGAGTAGGAGGGAGCACATTCAGCTTCCCTCTGCACATAGGAGAAAATCCTGGACCATCTATGGAATAGAGGAGCAAGCAACCAACATACCTCAGCATATGTGAAAATAGGGGACCAAGGATTGTGGTGGAACTGAAAAACCAGCGGTGAGAGGAATGCTGCAACACGTGAGACAAAATTATTATTATTCCATTATTCTTACATTTTTTAAAATAGTATTTTGCTAATTTACTGTCCTTCACCTCACCTGTGTCTCATTAGCACACTACTCAAGGTTCTATACTCCCTATTCTTGTTATCTAGATCTCATAGATTTTGTCATATGATTGTGCTCTAATATTATTGTAAATAACTGCTGTTCCATGCAATTGTAAATACTTCACAACAACCCCCTGCCCAGATCTTAGCCCACTTCAAAGTTTCCTGAACTCTATTACTGTAGTGGTTAACTCTATTCTCTCACACACTATACCTATTTACTATCCTTTACTCTCACCTTACCTCAGAATCTGACCTCCCACAACCTCACTGCTTTCTAGATCAAACTCACAATCCTTCCTTCCACAACAAGAGTCTTATCTTCTTTCCATCCTTTCTAAAAATCAGCTAGCTGAGTGGAAGATCACACATGGTTAACACTATACATAGCCAAAGGATCTCCTATCTCTTCTCTACTGGCTGCTACTGTAAATATCATAGAATACTCTCTTGCTGTCTTAAAACATTTGGCCTTCCCCCTCCAACTGATCACAAAAAAAGAGTAGGTGGAAGCAGTGAACACCAGGATACCCATTGGAAGAGGAAAACCAACAACAAAGGAACCACCAACAGATAATGATGGAAGAAGGTGAAGGAGAAAGTGGGAACCACACCAATTTCAATCCAGGACCTATCTGGAAATACAAGTAAACAGTAGAGACAGTACCCAGTATAAACAACTGAAGAAGAGCAAGAGAAAATCCTCAAAACCTTATACACATGGAAGAACCAGCTTCAACACAACCTGCCCTCACCAGTACAACAAAATACAAGAGGTGGTGGACACAGTGATCCTCATTTAACCAGCTGGTGGGAAGAAACCACCAAAGAAAGACCCAACAACAATCAAAACCCAAAGACAAACACAGAGCCGACTTAAATGACAGGCAAAGACCAGTGAGCTCGGGAGATCAAGGAAACTGCACCACTGAAACTCACAGGTATTCTACCACAGAAGTTAACACCACAAACCCAGGGAGCTAAAACAGATCAATTTAAGAAACTGAGACTAACAAGACGAGTGTCACAAACAATGGGAAGACAAAAAAAAAATCCCCAAATGAAAAGAAAGGAGGCAGTCTCAGAAAGAATGCTAAATAAAATAAAGGCAACTCAACTATCAGTTATTGAGTTCAAAGCAATGATTTTCAGGAAGCTAAATGAGCTCACAATGAGCTACCAGAAACTACAGGGAAGCTACAGTGAGCTCACTGCAAACTATATCAACATGAAAAAGGAAATAGCAACTATCAACAAGGGCCAAGAGGAAATGAAGAATACAATTTTTGAACTGAAGAACACAGAAGGAATGAAAAGCAGGGTTGATGAATCAGAAGATCAGATCAGAGAGCTAGAGGACAAAGTAGAAGAAAACACCAAGAAGGAGCAATAAAAGGAAAAGAGGCTCAAAAAGAATGAAGAGGGATTAAGAGAAATTCAAGAAATTTCAAGACTATGAAACATAATAATATCCATATATGGGATACCAGAAGGAGAAGAAGAAGAGCAAGGGATAGAAAACCTATTTGAAAAAGTAATGATGGAAAATGTCCCTAATTTGATGAGAGAAAAAGTCACACAAATCCAGGAAACACACAGAGTTCCAATCAAGAGGAACCCAAAGAGGCCCACTTCAAGACACATCATAATTAAAATGGCAAATTTCCAAGATAAAGAGAGAATCTTAAAAGCAGTGAGGAAGAAACAGGAAGTAACATACAAAGGGGCCCCAATAAGGTTAGCAGCTGACTTCTCAATGGAAATGCTGCAAGCCAGAAGAGAATGGCAAGAAATATTCCAAGTAATGAGAACCAGAGGTCTGCAACCAAGGCTACTTTACCCAGCAAGACTCTCAATCAAGATAGAAGGCCAAATAAGAAGCTTCCCAGACAAAAGAAGTCTAAAAGAATATACCTCCACCAAATCAGCTCTGCAAGAGATGCTAAAGGGCCTGCTTTAAGGAAAAGAAGGAAAAGAGAGAGAGAGAGAAAGGAACACAGGTACGAAAATGGCAATAAATAAGTACCTATTAGTAATAACCTTAAACATAAATGGATTAAATGCTCCAATCAAAAGACATAGAATAAGCCGAATGGATAAGAAGGCATGACCCACACATATGTTGCCTACAAGAGACCCACCTCATTACAAAAGATATATACAAACTAAAAGTGAAGGGCTGTAAAAAAATTTTCCAAGCAAATGGACTGGAAAAAAAAGCCAGGGTAGCAATACTCATATCGGACAAAATAAACTTCAAAAAAAGGGCCATAAAAAGAGACTCAGAAGGTCACTTCATAATACTCAAGGGAAGAATCCTCCAAGAAGACATAAACATTGTAAATAGATACGCATCCAACATAGGAGCTCCCAAATACATGAAGAAAAATCTTAGAGGACTTTAAGAAAGATATTGACAGCAACACAATTATAGTAGGGGATTTTAACACTCCACTATCAAACATGGACAGATCTTCCAAACAAAATATCAACAAAGATATTGTGGCATTGAACAATGCCCTAGAGGAAATGGAGTTAATTGATATATATAGAGGCCTTAATCCCAAAGAAGCAAAATACACATTCTTTTCAAACACACATGGAACATTTTCAAAGATAGACCACATGATAGGACACAAAGCAAGACTCAACAAATTCAAGAAAATTAAAATTATACCAAGCATTTTCTCTGACCACAAAGGACTGAAACTAGAAATCAACCCCAAGGGAAGAAACCCAAAACATTCAAAATCATGGAAATTGAATAGCATGCTATTAAATAATGAATGGGTTAAGAATGAAATAAAGGAAGAAATCAAAAAGTTTTTGGAAACAAACACAAATGAACTCACAACAACCCAAAACTTATCGGACACAACCAAGGCAGTCCTGAGAGGGAAGTTCATAGCGATACAGGCCTACCTGAAAAAGATAGAAACATTTCAAACAAACAACCTATCACCAAGCCTACAAGAACTCGAGGAACAACAACAAAGACAGCCCAGAGCAAACAAAAGGAAGGAAATAACCAAGATCAGAGCAGAATTAAATGACATAGAGACTAAAACCATAATTCTAAGGGTCAATGAATCCAGGAACTGGTTCTTTGAAAAGATAAACAAAATCGACAAGCCTTTAAGCAGGCTGATTAAGAAAAAAAAGAGAGAGGGCCCAAATAAACACAATCAGAAATAAAGGGGAGAGATTACAACTGACACAACAGAAATACAAAGGATTGCAAGAAATTATTATGAAGAACTGTCTGCCAAGAAATTTGAAAACCTCGGTGAAATGGACAAATTTCAGGAAAAATATAATCTTCCAAAACTCAATAAAAAAGAAGCAGAAAACCTGAACAGACCAATAATAGCAGATGAAATTGAAGCAGTAGTCAAAAAACTGGGACCCACACAAAAGTCTGGGTCTAGATGGTTTCACAGAAGAATTCTACAAAGCATTTAAGGAAACCTAACCCCTATTCTTCACAGACTATTCCAAGAAATCCAGAATGATGGAAGACTCCCAAACTCTTTTTATGAAGCCAGCATCATGCCAATCCCAAAACCAGATAAAGACACAACAAAGAAAGAAAACTTCAGGCTAATGTCACTGATGAACATAGGCACTAAAATCCTCTACAAAATATTGGCAAACCGCATCTAGCAATACATTAAAAAGATCATACACCATGACCAAGTGGGATTCATCCCAGGGATGCAGGGATGGTTCAATATTCGCAAATCAGTAAATGTAATACATCACATAAAAAAAAGCAAAGATAAAAATCACATGATCATATCAATAGATGTGGAAAAAGCATTTGATAAGGTACAGCACCCATTTATGATGAAAATACTCAGCAAAGTGGGAATAGAGGGAGCATTCCTCAACATAATAAA